TCAGAAAGCCGTGATCCGTTTTAAGCTATGCATTTGCGGTGGGTGTGAGCGCGGTGGGAAGCGCTGGGTGCGGGTGAGGAAACCAAGCGCAGCCTCTCCCGGGGCGGCGCTGCTCCGGCGGCCGGCCGCCAGGTGGCGCTGTAACGCCTCGTAACCGCGGGTCGGGCCGCCCCTGCCCTCTGCCCGCCCGGGCCTCTGGAAATTGGAAAATCCCCCCCAAAAATCACAGCGTCACGTTCTACCGCGAAACCAAGGGGCTCAACTCGAGTTCCTTTTGCTGGGACGGCTAGTGAAGAGCGAGAAGTGGCTTTAGCTCAAGAACCAGGCAGCCAGTAGCATCTGCCTATGGGATGAGTGGTTAAGTAGCGAAGATAAACAGGAACAAAAAGGATTATGAACTCATATATGAATACGGTGGTTTTATTCCAATAGTTATTGAATATCTTGCCTGGGAAATGGGTGTTTGTATGGCTCTCATGGACGACTCTAAGCCTCCTCTTCCCAATACCGCAGAGGGTCTATGGGTAATTTTGTGGCACCAAGTATTTAATTATGTGCTCTGCCAAGTGAAGGCAAGGTCTCCAATTGAATTTTAACCTCCCTGGACAACTATTTTAGATGCTTTGGTAGAACACAAATGCATATTTTCTGCATGCCAGATTCCAGCCCCTTAACTATCAAAGAGTAGATCTTCAACAAGTTCCACTGAAGGCTTTGAACAGGCAGGCGGACAGGAAGGCTGTGGAACTCCACAGCTTTTATGCTTCAGTCTTCACTGGCAATATTCTTCACACATCCCTCTAACAGAAGGTGGGGACTGGAGAAGCAATCTCCTTCCCATTGCAAGTGAAGGTTGAGTTCACAACCACCCGAGAAACCTGAACATCCTATGGGTCCCAAGAGATGCATCCTAGAGCGCAGAGGGAATTGGCTGATGCAGTGACCAAGCCATTCACAATTACATTTGGAACATCTTGGCAGTCAGGTGGTCTCTGGTGAATGAGGAAATGGCAAAGATGTACCCATCTTTAAGTGGAATGGAAAGAAGGACCCAGGGAACTACCGGCCTATCAGCCTCACCTCCGTGCTGGGGAAATCATGGAACGGGTCCTCCTGGAAGCTGTGCTAAGGTGAGTGGAAACAGGTGATACAGAAGAACCAGGCTGGCTTTACCAAAGGCAACTCCTGCCTGATCATTCTTGTTGGTTTTTATGATGACGTAGCTGTGTGAACAGGGGAACAGACACTGATGTCATCTATCTGGATTTCAGTAAGGCCTTAGACATGGTTCTCTATAACATTCTTCTCTCCAGATTGGAAAGATATGGTTTTGACAGGTGGACTGCTCAGTGGATGAGGGAACTGGTTATGAGATCGTACCCAGAGAGTGGTGGTCAATGGCTCAATGTCTGGATGGAGATCAGTGATGAGTGGTGTCCCTCAGGGGTCTGTAGTGGGACTGATGCTCTTAACATCTTCATCAATGACACTGATAGTGGGATTAAGTCACCCTCAGTAAGTTTGCAGGTGACACCAAGCTGTGTGATGTGGTCAACATGCCTGAGGGACAGAATGCCATCCAGAGAGACCTAGACAGGCTTCAGCAGTGGGCTCAGGTGAACCTCATGATGTTCCACAATGTCAAGTGCAAGGTCTTGCACCTGGATCATCACAATCCCTAAAGTGGGAGATAAAAGTCAAGGGAGGTGATCCTGCCCCTCTGCTGTGTGCTGGTGAGACCTCACCTGAAGTACTGTGTCAAGGTGTGGAGTCCTCAGTACAGGATCTGTTGGAGCATGTCCAGAGGGGCACAAAAATGATGCAAGGGATGGAATACCTCCCCTGTGAGGACAGGCTGAGAGAGCTGGAGCAGAGAAGGCTCCTGGGAGATCTGAGAGCCACCACCTTTCAGTATCTAAAGGGAGTCTATAGGAAAGAAGGAGACAGGGTCATTAGCAGGGTCTGTTGTGATAGGACATGGGGAAATGGTTTCAAACTAAAAAAGGGAAGATTTAGATTGCATATAAGGAGGATGTTTTTTTACAATAACAGTGGTGAGGCATTGGAACAGGTTGCCCAGAGAGGTGGTAGAAACCCCATACCTGGAGACATTCAAGGTCAGGCTGGATGGGGATCTGAGCAGCGTGGTGCAGCTGTCCCTTTTCACTGCAGAGGAGTTGGAGTATAGGTGACCTTCAAGTGTCCTTTCCAACTCAAACAATGCCATGGTTGTACGAACAGCACTCAGTTATGTTGTTGAGGTTGAATCTTGACCTTAAAACCCTGGCAGGGACCCAGACAAAGAAATCCATGTGGGAAATTGAAGAGGGAATAAAGTAGCATGTCTATGCTTTTTGCAGAAGTAAACTGGTGACGTAGGCATGAGTTGGGATGGAGGCTGCTCAACATGGTGGAGACTGTCCCCAGCTGCTGCTGCTGCTGGAAATAGCTTAGGGTGAGTGTATGGGGTAGGTCCATGTGGTGCTGCTCTGCCACGAACAGCAATCCCTTTTATGTTTACCAGTGCTCTCTCTCAAAAGAGAACAGAAAAGCACAATTTTGTAAAAAAAAAAAAAACAAAACAAAACAAAAAAAAAAAGTCCAGCGATAGGTTATGGTGGTAGGTTGTTTTTTTATGTGCTTTTCCTCTGGTGAATTTAAACCTTCATTTTCTCTCTGCCGAACAAAAGTGGCAGGTCTAAGGAGTATTAGGTAATTGTGGTTGTCAGATTGCACATAGTGTTGGCGAAATATTAATTGCTGTGTTTTTGCCCAAGGCTTTATGCAGCAGCCCCTTCATTTACCTGGGAGCAGGTCATTTCCCTCCCGTTCCAGACTGTGTACTGTTGAGCAGCATGAAAGGATTCCTGTACGGCTGCACTGTGTGTGTAGGCGGGCATCTCATTCAGTAATAATTTCTAATTTATACAGCCATGAAAATCTGCTGCTATAAATAAACAGTTCTGACTGACTTTGCATGCTTACTCAAAACAAAACGTGTGAGAGAAAGAGGCTGAAAGAAAAATCTAGTGTAAATGTCACAAAGACCAGTGTTCCTCAGAGAAGCCTATCATACAATCATAGAAGGGCCTGGGTTGAAAAGGACCACAATGATCATCTAGTTCCAACCCCCCTGCTGTGTGCAGGGTCACCAACCACCAGACCAGGCTGCCCAGAGCCCTTCTGAAATTGTAGGGAAAATGTTTGTGATCAACAATGTACAGTTTTTCCCATATGCAGCTTCGTGTGTGCATTAGAGAAAAAGGAGCAAAGCAAAGCTGAGATCCTGCCGTTCGTGTTCTTGAGACAAGTATTGCTGATCTTCCTCTCAAAGCACATAACCCAGACCCAGCCTCTCCCTCCTCCAGGCAGCATGTGGAACATGGCAGAGCAGAGCCTTCCTTGAGTCCTCACTAAAGCAAGTAATGAATGCAAGCGATCCTCCTTACGCTTTTGTAGTCCAGCAGGAAGGTCCTCAGCCTTAAAAGCCACAGCAGGAGCCAAGTCTGCCCTTCAGATCCTCTAGCTGGTAGGTGGGGAAAGAATAGTCCCATTGTCAGGGCCCAGGCTTTGTATTGAGCTTCCAACATTTAAAATGCTTGCATTAGGTTATCAGTAAAAAAATAAACAAGAAACAAACAAACAAACAAAACAAATAGCCATATAAGGAGTAGCCTGAACTCTCTCCTCTTCCCTAACTCACTGCATGGCTTTCTTCTGTCTGCCTCTCAGAAATAGTTCCTCTGACCAGCATCTTTTAGCTGAACCCTTTCCTCTCTCTCCTTCAACAGGAAAACTGTGTATAGATGTGCACATGTATCTCCCTGCATATAGTCCATTTGCAGCCTCTTTCTAACATGTAAACTACCCAATCTAGAACTTAGGTGCTTAACACCTGAGAAAAACAAATGTATATACACATAATTTCTTATGGCTCACAGGCAGCTTACAATGTGTTTTGTTTTTCTTAAGCTACAGCAGCACGAAAAAGATGAGAATAAGACCCCGGTGAACTGTGTGTGCAGTAACTGTGAGCTATGGGTTTGGGCAATGAAGGCAGAAGCATTGCAGCTGGTTTCAAATCCTCATTGAAACGCAACGCTAATAACAGAGATCCCTCCCGTTCACGTTGACCATGAAGGAGTGCTTACACCACTGCCAGTTTTGTCTGTTTATTGGAGTTTCCAAAGCACATCTCCAGTGTTATAGATGTTAACAACATGTTGGGGCTAATAACAGAAATCAACTATATTGAGCGAGTTTAGTAAACATGTGAATGGGGTGTAATTATATGGCAGGCAGCTTTATGTTAAACAGTGCTTTAAATTAACGTGCTTTCTGTCAAAGCAATCATACAGTCGGTATAATTAGGTTACTTTTGCCACAAGATTAACTGAAACCAAGAAAAAGGAAAAAAAGTTGCGTTCAGATTTCATATTAATGTGGAAGGGGGGATATTTTGCACGTTAATATTCCCGAATGTTTCTCATTAGAAGAATTTGGCTTTGTGGTGAACTTTCTGAGCAAACATTCCTAATTGCAGTCCTTGTTAGCCCAATTTGTTATCTATCTAGCTTGGAAGTCGCAGCAGTGTTAAAATTATCCCTCGTCTTAATTTCTTCCAGACTTGATGAAAGGCAATCCAAACAAGAGCTGGCTTGCATGCGCAGGTCCTTCACGGTGTGGTGCCAACTTGTGAGGGAGTTCATTTACCAGTGACAAGTTTTAACCGTGGACACATCCCGATGTACGTTGTGCAAGAGACGAGAAATCTGTGTAAACAGATGAACACGATTTTCTGATTCATAGCAGTTGCGGAGTTATCATGTAAGAGGCGAACGTTTCACATTTTCCACCAGTTTTCCATATGTCTGATGACATAATGGCTTCACCAGAAGCTGCAACGCATTGGAGAAAGGATTTATCACAGCTGCATTTATTTTCCTCTACTTCATGGCTTCAGCATTCATGGAGAGATTGTTTGGCTTGAAGAGGAGCGTTCACTTGCCTTTCCGTTTGTAGTCCAGTATTACTATTGAATCTCCTGTTCCAAGGCAGAGGAAAAAAGAATGTTTAAAAAAAAAAAGGTAGAACAGAGTGAGAAGTCCTCAGATAAATTCAGGCATGCTGCTGGGAGGTGGCTGTGAACTTGTCCCCAGCGTGCCAGCAGGAACTGAGCTCGGTAGGGATTAGGAGCAAAATGCCTTAGACCAGCTGCCTGCAGGAGTCAAAGGAGCTTGGGATGTCCCTGGCAAGTAAGGGATTACTCAGTTTCTGCAAGAGGGACTTACAATCTGCCAAGGACCACATCCTTGGTTGGGAATAGTGGTGCTTCACTAGTGGAAAAAAGCATCTGCCACTGAGCAGCCTTGTTCGCTGTAACAACATGTGAGAAGCTTTCAAAATAAAGCACCTCTGAAAAGGCAGCAGATATGAATCCAAGCAGCTGGGATATCTGTAGGATGGCACAGGACTTACTGCTGAACCACAGCTTTTTGAGAGCATCTGTACTGCCATGGGCACCTAGCATGGCCATAACCAAGTATGTTGGGGTACCTTTATCATCTGAAGCGCTGTCGCAGCCCCTGTTCCTCTGTGCTGATGATCACTTACAGGGAGCCCTTTTTAAAGGTGCTGTATTTTGTCTGCAGCCCTCAAAGGGCCTGAAACACTGTAATTGCTGGGTTGTATTTATCTCCAGCCTGCGTAGCATGTGGTGGTTGACCTGATAAGTAACAAAGTCCTGGCATTTCTTCCTTCCTAAACGGTCCTGTGAGCATTTAGTGCTGACCAGTACAAAGACTGCAGGGAGTATCAGATCAGCCTATGGGGCCAGAGACAGCATATTAGCAAACACCTGTTTGTATTTGCCCTGCAGTGATGAAATTCTAAGCCCCGGGTCGCCTGAGCTTCCGCCTGTGTGTCCCTCTCTCCCCTGCAGATCATCAGATAAACCTGTCAGCACCACCAGGGCTTGTGACAGATGGTGTGGGTTCCCTTTAAACAGCTGAACTCCTGTACCAAGGAGTAATCTGCAGCTCGGGGGAGTGGCAAGTATGACAGATATAAATATGCCATCACGAGCCTGTGGCATAACTAGGATGAATGAATGAGGCAAAAGTGGGTATTCGTACGTGGCTTGCAAACTCGGGCCTGTTAAACCCTCTTACAGGTGAGTCCCATTCGTCACTGGCAATACTGTGAGACTGCAGACAAAAACGTTATTCGTTCACTGAAATAAATGGATATACTTTGGACTGTTACTCTCCAGTCCTAAAGGCTCAATAGAACAAATGCTCTTGATAGAACAAATGAAGATATATTCTGGAAAAGAGGCTCTGTTTAAAAATCCCTGCTGGACCCTACAGAAACAAGAGGACTGTCAAAATGAAGGGTCGGTTCTGTCTCTATGCTGACAATTACCTGCAGAGCATCAGCATTTTAGGGTTCGTAATAAAGCTGCTGTTTGTGAGCCAGCACAACGGTAGGATGACTCCTCAACCCACACAGCTTTGCTTTGTACCCCTTCGTTTGCCACTTGGCTTTCTGCAATCTCAACTCAGTAGCTGCTCAGGAGGTGTCAAGACTTCAATTGTATGGAGGTATTACTTTGTATTGTGCAGGTTCCTCTGCCACCACGCAGGCTGTGTTTCCCAATAGCTGAGCACTCTGTATTCAGGGAGCTTGGCTTCACAAGTATGTAAGAACAAAAATAAAAGCCAGGGAAAACAACCCAGCTCCTAAAACCAGTTATATGGTTCTGTAAAATATATTTTGCACAGAGGTGCTTCAAAAAGAAGAGGGAAAATATGTTAACGAGAAGATTGCCCTCTAATTTTAGCTTAGCCTTGGGTGAATATATTTCAGCTAAGGCTTTCCAAAGCATTCAGGAGCTCCTACAGGTTCTGCAAGATCACATTCATCTACGCCTGAGGCTGTTGCTAGTTGCTCACCTATTGCTCCTGTTCACCTGCACTTCACAACATGAAAATGAAACAGCTGCTGAACGTTTTATCAGACCTGCTAGACAAAAGGCAAATGAATCCTCTGCATCTTCAAACGCTGGTGCCAGAGACCTCATCTGAAATGTTGCTTTGTCTGCAATGGAGAACTTTGATCCTGAGGATCTGTTTGTCTCAGCTGGAGCAAAACCTGAGGGAAGCTTGCTTAGCTTTTGCTGTTCAGGGTTCTAGTTTTGCAGATCAAAGTTGCCTGCACGATGTTTCCTACCCGTCAGGAATGAGAGAAGCTATCACACAGTTCATCTTTGGCACCCTGACCCTGCAGCCAAATTCTTGGGCTGAGGTAAATGTATGGCAATGAAAGAATCAGCCCATTGTTTCCAATTATCCTCTTTGGAGTTTCTGTATTACTCAACATTGTCTAGCACTCCAGAAACTCTGGGATTTACAACAAACAAAAAAAAAAGTCATTACTTGGTACTATTTTCTGTGCCTCTCGGCCTGTGCAGCTGGGTTGCCTTAGTTACCATGAATCCAACTGTGCGACTGGAGGGAAAGGCAAGTGAGAAATAATACATTTTTAAAGCCTCTAATACTATATGAGGCAGTTTGTCTATAAATAATAAAACAAATTTAGGATCTGGCATCTTTGGGCTGTTCTGAAAAGGAAAAAAACAGGGTTATGTTATTAAACAGCCTGCATTTTTAGCTCGCAGAAATGATGCTGCATCTCTCTGGTGGAGCACAGGACATAGCTTTGAAATGACATGCCCTAAGCTGAAAGTCGCTATCCTTGGACTTTGGAATAATTTGGAGCTAAATATACCTTTATGGGTGGAAAAAACAGTAAACATTTACATAGCTGATGCTCTTTTGTTTTGGCAGAAGTGGTGGTGGCCTGAAGCTACAGAGGAACGTGGCAGAATCCTTATGGAGCACAGTGCTGTGGGACAAGCTTCATTTGCTGCCTACAATTCTCCCCAGGATGCGAGTGCTCCAGGAAGCCAGGTGTGATGCTCTCACTGAGCTATTTGCTAATCACTTCTTGCCTCTTCAAATAAGCACAGCTTATCTCCATTGCTCTAGGCAGAGTCTCAGCCTGCAGCAGCCCAGGCAGGTTTTGTCCTTTCCCACTGCAAATTGCTTTGCTTTGTTGGTTTGGGTTTTGGGTTTTTTTTTGGTTTTGTTTCATGTGTGTGTGTGTTTCTTTCCACCCACTTATTTTAACTGTATCATCTCTTAACTGTGATGAGAAGGTGAGATGGGAAAGGGTAGGATGGAAAAAAAAAAAAAGTACATGGAGGCATTTTTGCTGCAAGAAGAAAGGTATGTTGGAATTGCATCTTCATTCTATTTGCAGCTGTTTTTACTCTGGCAGTGCTGAGCAGATTTGTTTCAGTCAGGAATACATTAAGACTCTGGCACACTGTAATTTGGAATACCTTCCCTCTGGCTGTGTTTCAACACTATTGGGATCTTGTTATCAATACCAGCTTAAGGAAGTCCTGCCTTTCTCATGGGTGGACACAGCCGGGAAATGGATCGGCAAAATTATCTGCGTTAAAAACAAATCCCTGCTCACAAGAAACAGGCATGTGTGGTGGAGTAGGAAGGAGTTGGAGGTGGTGGGCAGGAGCTCATTGAGATGTTATTGCTCCCAAAGCCCCCATGTAATCATACTGCAGGCTCAGATACCACAGAGGGACCAGCTATTGGGGTGTAGCTTGCAGCTTTTTGTATCAGTGTGCTGTAAATCTAGGTAATGCCATCAGTCCTGGAGGCAAGCAGCTGAGGATGCATTTAAAGAAGTAAGGAGAAAGTGAAAAATATAAATGGAGAGACATCCAGCACATGGAGAGGACCTTCATGGAGTATGAGAGCACATCAGACATAAACAGAGAATTATCACGTATGCTGCACACATATATATGATCTGCAGTTACATTAGCACACACTCTAGACCTGAAATTGTTACTACCTATTCATTGTGAAAAAAAATCTGATTCTTAACTAATACAAAACCTGATATCTAACACGAGACCTAAGCTGTCTTGTGGTGGTTGTGTCGTGGTCTTTGATTAAACGGAGAGGTCAGAAATTACTCATAGTAATGGTTGCTATCTATGCGGTGCCTCTTTAACTAGAGCTAGCGCAGAGTGCCTGCAGATCTGTTTTCAGTTACACAGAATCCTCATCATGCATCATATTTATGCAAGAATAAAATTCATCCAAAATTTCCAAACTTGGTATGTAGAGCAAGTGTCTTGTTTGCAAAGGTATGAACCACTGAACTTGGTTATTCAGCACATTTGAAATTCAATCTGCTGCTCTGAGGTAGCTGGGTACGGCTGGTGAGAGACTAGCTACAGACACTCCACTTTGGCTTGACAGGCATGTGAGACTTCACAAAATGGATCAGGCATCAAATGCTCCCTGAGAACAGAGGGAGGTTGTCTTATTTACTTTCAGAGGTGTTTCTGCAGGGCTTTTTCTTTCATCAGAAATCTAGTTTAAGAAATTGCAAATGTTCACACATTTGTCCTAAATAAAATACACACGTTTTCTTGACAGAAACGCTTTCATCCTCAAAAACTTAATCTTGAATGAAAAAGGAAAGAGGCAACCAGAAGGGAAAATAATTAATAATAATAAAGTCCCACACCAAGACTCTCAAGCTTCATCAGTTCTCTTTGCTCCTCCAGTGTTGTCCTTCTAAGAGACATCGTTTCTCCTAACTGCTCATTTATCCAAGTAAGGTTGACTTTCATTTTCTTTAAAGCATTACTGGTCATGCCACTACTGAAGCCAAAGGGAGATGTTTCAACAGCCCATTAAAACTTCCCAAAGTGCTGCTGCATTCACAAAGCTTTCGCTTGGCTAGACTAATGCCTTCCTATAAATTCTTAGTAAACCATTCCTGAGTCTGATAAACACCATACGACATAGGTAAGAGGGTTTTAGGCAGAGCTATTTTGCTTCTCCAAACCACCGTTTGAGAAGGAATTCAAAATACAGTGATTATGCTGGTGGGAGGTTCTTCTCAAGCCACACTGGAGAAAACTGGCCCAGATGTTTCTTTTTGTTTGGCAGAGTTGGCAGCCTTCTAGTCTGTCCTGTTTGTTACTAAATTCTTAGGACCTGGCAATCTCTATCCAGAAGTCACTCCCTGCCCCAGTGTATGTGTGTCCTTCTCCCCACCTGCCTTGGTGATCATAGGAATTCCCTTTTATTTTTTCTAATACGGATAGAAATAAATAAAAAAATTGGACTGACCCCATATCATACGGTTTAGGAACTCTCCAAAATTGTAGAAACAGACGACGATGGCAAGGCTACTGATGAAAAAGGCTCCTAGCCCAGCTGGGCTGAATGAAGCAAAGAGAGGGTACACCCACTCTCCTGTTACAAAATAAATCCATAGGACCCTGGGTGAGAGGAAAAACAACATTTGGTTAGGGCTATTCAGTCAGAAGAATCATTTGTTGACTTCGGGTTTCTAAAGGGCCATGTTATCAAAACAGGATTGATACGGAGAAGATTAGCTCAGCTGTTGATGCATCTCCTCAATATTTGGGCTATTTGCTGTGTAGCACACTTGAGTCATTGCTAAATTAGATGGATTTTGGTGCAGCTTGAAATACACAAGGTGTTCTGCTGTCACCTTGGTGGCATTGGCTATTAAAACAGTAAAACAGCAGTAAAATAGTAAAATGCTCAGAAATACAGGTGTGCACTTCAGTATAGAAGTGAGGCTTGTTCAAATAAGCTCCTAATAGGTTTTTGCTCTTTATTTACTGATTTTTCAGTCCCTATCTAGAATCCAAGGGTCTATGGTAACAGAGGTGCTGTTTCTCATTCTTTCTATCCTGCTGATGTTGAATGCTTTAGAAAGTAAGAAGAGATTTCAGGAGATGACAGGGCATGGACTATTCTCTTAGGTCCAAAATTAGGAGAGGAGAAACAAGTGGGTGGGAAAGAGATGTACTCACTTTGCTCTCTTTTTCCAGGACCAATTGCTAGGTACTGGTTTGGAAGAAGGAAAGAATGAAAAAGAAGAGAATGACTGTCTGAAGTAGGCCCTCTCTTTCTGCCTTTTTCTTCTCTTAAGATGAGACCTGTGGCTGCTGCCAGTTCACTAATACTATTTCTTCCATTACTCATAGTTTATAAGAGTGGATGGAAGCAAGTGCCTAGATTTAAGAGCATAAAAATGGTGTCTAGATATATATTTGAATGGAATATGTAAAGAATATAAAATGTATGGCAGATCTCCAGTGATTTCTGTGAGGCTGTGCCCTTATAGGATAGGGCTGAACTTACCTAAATTGGTCACCTGGGACAAAAGAATCCTAAAAAGATTTAATTATTGACTGGAGAATACACCTGTTGAGTACTTCCCACTACCAGTGCTGACATGGGAACACCATGGCACTCTCTAAAGGTGCCCTGCCTTGCATCATGCCTCAGGGAGAGAAGTGGAAACCGGTTGTCCCACCAGCATGTCACAGAACTAAGCCTTTAAAGAGTGCTGAGGAATAAAATGTGACTGAAAGGATGGCTTCTTGTTTCTACAAGAAGAAAAGGAAGAGGTAGATTGGAGAGATGTTAGGGTTAGTGACAGAGCTGTCTTTGCATGAAGATGTGAAGTGTGCAGATTCATTTGCCCAGAGAGGTGGTGGATGTCCCATTCCTGGAGGCATTCAAGGTCAGGCTGGACAGGGCTGTGAGCAACCTGATGCTCCTGTTGAATGAAGGAGAGTTGGACTAGATGATCTTTAAGGATCCTTTCCAACTCAAACGATTCTATGATTCTATGGTTTTCCAGATTCAAGAGAGGTTCTCTCATCCAACAACCTGGGCTGCAGTACAGCCATAAAGAGAAAAAGGCCTGTGCAAAGGCCAGGGAAAGATGAGTAGGAATGTCAAAGACCAGGTGCTAACTGAAGCCTGTGCAGTACAGATATCCATATGCATTCTTCACTGTACTGGGGCTGCTGTTTTCTTAATACATCTCAAACAGTAAAACAGAGTGAAAAAGTGCCTTTATATATTGAGGAACTAGATTATCTTGATCTAATTTAGCTGGCTGGAGTGCCTGATAGGAAGCACTTCCATGGGAAATTTCAAACTTAAAAAATGACTCGACTGTTCAGAAGCACTAAAGCTCATTCAGTTTCCTGACCTGATGGAAGCTGTGTGTAGCTAGGGTTTTATCTTGGGACATACATTCAGGGTCATGAGTTTATTCATTTTGACTACAGAATGGTTGACAGATTTTTATTTTATTTTATTTTATTTTGCTAGGGATTTCATAAAATGCAACCCAACAACTTGCAAATGCACGTTGCCTCTTTCTTGTGGGCAATCAGCTGTTAAACACACATGCAGCGTTCAGAAGTCGATTATTCTGAACATTTGGTTACACCAAATTTCAATGTTTAGCAAGCTTTTACAGTGAGAATGTAGAACTATACAATGCCCAGAATTATGGAGGACATAGACTGAGAAAACAACTTGGTATAACCAAAGCTGCAACACTGCTGTGAGACTGAGGACAGCATTTAGATAGTGGAGGAAAGTGATGCGCAGCAGCCTGAGAAGGCAGTTTGATGCTTTTGTTATCTGACCATTAAAGTCAATGGGAGCTCTGCATTCACTGGAGGAAAAATAAAAATGGTTCCCTAGGAAATTGTTGAATGGGAAGATCCAGAAAGGAGGAGAACATATTGGCCACACATGAGTTTTCTGAGGTGGTGGTTAATGCAAAATTAAAAGGTTATGAACTGAAAATGAGCATACAGTAAAAGAAAAACATTTTGATTCCTAACAGAGATGAAATATGGGCATATTTTAAGAAAGCCATCAGTTTCTAGATTTTTTTTTTTTTTTTTTGTAGTTTAGGTCTTTATAGATGGTGTGCAATCTGTAATGATTTATATTCCCTTACATTGGTAGTTTGATCTTTTCTCCAAAAACACATGCACAGTTGTGAGGAGTAAGATTTATTTTATCCTGATCTTTATTGCTAAATTGATATTGCCACTGAAATGGGAAAGAGCTTGCTATTGTTACCTCCTTTCCAAGATTTAGAATGACAGTTCTGAAATGTATATATTCTTCACAGCTTTCAGTGTGATGACTCCAAGAATAAGGCAGGAGATGCAAGATCCATCCATGCAAGAATTAACATACCGAGCAGTTTTCTTTGCCGTGATGACCTGTACTGGAAGCTGCCTTTTCTTTTTAATCCTATGGGTGTTCAAAGCTATCAGAGGCAAGAATCTGGTTCAAAAAGTCACAAACTGCTTGATTTCTCACTGCCTTGGAGGGACCTGGCAGCACTCAACCCATCGATAGTAGAGGACGGACAGTGTGATGACAACAGTGACAACTCAAAAAGAGGCTTTAAGGGAGCACTCTGTGTTGCTTGTGAAACATAAGGCACCCAAATGGGGTTATTTAATCAGCAGGTTGCAGCTCCAACAGTAAAATATGTGCACATGTTAAGTACACAGACTGAAAACCTCTTCTGTTAGTTGGAAGCTTTTGTCTCTGGCTTCAGGAACAAGGAAGGCAGATGGGAGATTCCTCATTGTCTCAGAAGGAGGGAAAGCAACAGCGCTGTACTCCCAAGAAGCCCAGATCCAGGTACCAGGGCCCTGGGCCACAGGGGACAAGCACAACAAGGAGCCCAGAGGCGTGCAAGGCCAATTCAGAGAAGATACGAGAAGGACTGAAACAAGCAGTCTGATCAATTTCAGACTGAACAGGATCTGTGAAAGCTTGCCCCCACCGTTATCATTCCCTGGCTGGAAATAGGGGGCAGGAGAGGTTGTCCTATGGGCATGGCACACAGCAGTTTGCTTCTGCATCCACCTGTGCCCTACAAGGCTGAGACAGAGCGCTTGCTGGGGAGCCAGGGGAGGTGGTAGTCCTGTGTGCTTCGGGCTTCCTCATGGGCATCGGGTGGGACTGACTGGAAAGGACTTGGCAGGGAAACGCGTCTCTCACAGCTATAATAGTATTAGGCTGTGGGCCGGATTAGGATAAATGGCTCCAAACTGGGTTGCATAACATAGAGCTAAAGTCTGCTGCTTCCAAAGCCACTCCTACGGGTCTCACATCACGGGAGTGTTTCATCTGGGCCGCTTCTTTTCTGTTCCTGTATTTCAAACAGTGGGCTGAGGTTACTCTCATCTGATGGGTGGATGGAAGTGGGAAGGCTGGATCCCTGCGTGGTTCCAGCTGCTTCTCAGAAAACTTTGGGTGAGTGTACCCTGAAACTATGCAGATCTACTCCAGAGCTGAGTCTCAGAGTGATCTGAAATGTTAGCAGCTGCCCATAACCTGGATGCTATGAGCAGGAAAGGATGCAAACACAGCTCCAGGGGTGTGCAGCACATAGAGGAAGTGGGTGGAGGGCTGTGGACAGGACCCTCTCAGACAGGGTGGTGATAAAATTGGGCACATTGCTGGCAATGTAGGCAGTGTCCACCAGTGCAGATGGAGGTGGTAGTGGGACAGATGCCTCCTCAGTACCCATTACTTCCCACCTGCCTCTGAATATCACTTTCTAACTTTCTAAATCCAGCGTCATGCCCCTGTGAGATATAAAACTGAGTTCTGCTCCTTTCCTGCTCTCCTGGCTCCTGGACTTTGAGAGTTGATGTTTCTGGTAATGTAGGGTCTTCTTTTAAGAGGCTATGAAAGAGCAGGGGATACCAGGTGTGGCCTCAGCAGCCGTACTTAGAAGAAACCCACTCTGCCTGCATCTGGAAATGATCTTCATGAGCCTCACCTGGTGTTTAAATGGCTTATCTACAGACCAGATTGTTGTCTGAGAGGGAACTTAGCGTATGTAGAGTGTGGCCTTGCTGTACAAAGCAGATCACTTGAAGTATGTGTTCTGAAGTACGTGGTTCTTACCAACTGACATAAAGAAAAGAGGCACAGCCTAACAGGAACAGTCCCTTCTTCTTTGCTGGGTAGCGATGCGGTGTGGCAAGGATTTCCAGAAGAGCAAGTGGTAATACAGCTGTGTGCTGCAGAGAAAAAAAGAGTGTGTCACAGAATGGTTGCAGCACTGCTCACAAAGCTCAAGAGCTGGCATGTGGGCAAAGGGTATGGTTCGACAGGAGAAAACTATTGCAAAGTCATTGGTAGTTGATGGGAGAAGGTTAGCAGGATAGCAGAGAAAGATGCACAAATTTAAAAACTAGAGGGAAAAAAAAAAAAAAGAAAAATACTGAACTAGTAATTTTTTGTTTCCCCTGTGAAGTCACAATCTGCTGGATGCATAGCATGATGTTTCCTCTTGTCCAAAGGAAGTGGTTCTATTTCTTTCAATGTTTATGTTTGTCAGAAACTGTGCTGAGTATAAGATATGGTAGTATGGTATCAAAATATATTGCTGTACGTAGTATGAGATACCACAAATACACATGAAATTCTTTAGATGCACTCTGATCTCTAAATGCACACGTGTACAGCATGGATGAAAATGCTTTTTATCTATTTCTTTCAGAGGCAGACAGCCATTTTTGTCTGTCGCTGCCAAATAACAGCTGACTGTACATACTTCCTCAAGACCCCCAGTGCACCCCCAGGAGTTGCTATTCATACCTGGCTGTCACACTACCGAAACAACCCATCTGTCTCAGTTAGTTAGTATATTTTCTTTCAGAGAAAACAGAGAGAAAATATTTACTCGATGTTCCGGTTTCTCTCACTTATTAGCACAATATTTTCTTCTGTTCTGCTTCTCAAAGATATTCTTCAGCTCTACGACCCTGATAGTTGATGTACAAACGATTCCCTCACTAATTTAACCAGAAAAGTGCCTCCAGTGCATACCCTCCCTTTCATATATGGTCCCTGTAACTGTCTGTCACTCCAAAATCTATGCATTAGGGTGCGCACCATCATCATAATGGTAATTAGGTTTTGGGTTTTTTTTTTCTATGAGTGGGCAACTGTTTGTCATCAAGCAAAAGTGAGATGCCCATGGAAGACAGCTATGGTAGAAAACTTCTTCATCCTCACAATTAGGCTTTAGCCATTCACAGTGAATTTGTCCATTTTGCGAAGTGGATATAAGTTCTGGTTTTCATCTGATGTGCAACAGCCTACAAAATTCCTTTGGGTAACAAGAAATGTCCTTGCTAGTCCTTTAATTAATTTAAACCCTTTTAACAGCTTTAAGCTGGTTGTTCCTGCTTGTATTTTTGCTGTACTGAGAAGAATTTAGTATTAGTGACCTGGTGAAATAATCCTTCGTTAAGGCAAACAGTTTTCAAGTAAGGGTTATTTTATATACTTATTTCCTCAGTTTGGGGCTTTTTGTTCTCAGAGTGAACACTAAATAAGCACAATTCTCCAATATGATGCTCCTTTAATAGAGAAAGTATATGATGCTCTGGGACAGTATTAACAGGAATGTTGTGTGTAAGAGCTGGGAAGTTACTGTTCTACTCTATTTGACACACATGAGATTTTGGCTTGCATTCTACCTCTCATCAAGGACACCCCATTTTGACAGGGGCAAATAATTTGGAACACACCCAGAGAAAGAACAGCACAAATGACAAGAGAATGCATGAAACATATTATTGAATCTTGAGAGAAAAGGAAAATGAGATTGACTTTTAAAGACTTACGATGCTGATACAGCAATGACTGTGATGACTGCCTTCTCCGTATCCATCACAAGTAGGACCAAGAGTGATAGGCTCAGTTTCCCTCAAGAGAGATTTGGCTTTATATTGGGAAACACCTCATAAGGACAAGCAGAGAAGCAAGGAGCTAGGGCAGCTGAGCAACCACTTCACAGAAGAAGCTAAGACAAAAGGTTGGGTGTGTTTCTGCCATGCCTCAGTTTTCCTCTTACTTAACGATCTGAACCAGCTCACCAAGGGTTATCATGCAGACTCCAAAGATGATGCAAGAGCAAGCAGAAGCAGAGGATGAAAGCATGGAGAAACAGGGGGTCTCCTTTTCTGGTAAGAACACTGTCACAATTAAGACCACTGTGGCTCTGGGCAGCCTGGTGTAGTGGTTGGCGACTCTGCCCATGGCAGGGGGGTTGAAACCAGATGATCATTATGGTCTTTTTCAACTCAGGTCACTCTATGATTCTATGGTGATGACCACCAGCATCTCTACTTTCTTAACAATCCTCCGTCTCAATTCATGCATCTTTGTGCTGTCTTACAGTACGGGGATCCCACAGGAAAAGAGAAAGAGGAGAGAAAGGCACCTGATTTGCAATTTCTCAATTTCTCTCTTCCATCAGATGATGGCTCAAGACATCCCTCTGATGCACTTTGACCTCATCAGACAGCAGAGCAGTGCTCTCTGATACACTCACAGGGAGCAGCAAAGGCAAGCCCACTATGCTAACACACGTGTTGGCACTGAAGAAGTTTAGGAAACCAGCAGTGGTTGTGAGAGACAGTTGGAAGCTCTCCTTTTTATTATATGTTGATTTAGAAAATCTGATCTGCTAAACTAGTTATTTTTTGTTGGGTCCTTCTCTGTTGGAGGAGATAGAGAAAATACTGAGGGGTCTGTAGATCAAAAAAAGTTTGAAAGTCTCTAGCAAAGCTGAAAATATGGGAACTTTTGGAAATAAGTTTAGAGGTAGGGACAAGTTCAGATTTCTGCTCTGCTTGATTTATAAGGGCCTGAAGACAAGTTTCTTTCTCACTGGAAGAGTGCTGCCACCACCAAGAGCACGAAAACTGTTTGGGAGTAGGGCTGCCTGCCTCTTGTTTTGTGAACAGTTTCTCTCAGCTCATGGATCTATCCTGATTTGGAAGAGGAAAAAGGAGAAAGAGAAAAAAGTAGAAAAAATAGAAAATGAAAAGAAAGTAATCTGTTGTAGTGCAGGAAGGCTTTTTCTCCCCCCAAGTTTAATAATGACACTTGTATAGAATTAATTAATGCACGTGCTGTGTTTTCTATACAAATCATTGTAGATCTCTAAACATATTTTGCCATACATTAACCCAATTTTACATAGCAATGCATTTTCAGCTTATCCTAGCTAGAAGGTCACTGTGTATGTTAACTGGGTGCTCTGTTAAGGGCGATTTATAATTGCCATGCAGATAACTTCTCAAGACAGATAGTTCTCGGTTAGCTCATGCACATTCAGAATGATAGTGTTTAACCTTTTGGTTTTGGATATGAAGTTTCTCTTTTCTTTTCAACCTAGAAACCAATTGCTGGCTTGGAAAATGTGTGGTGCAATCTTTCCTTGTATCTCTTCTATCCTGGAGTCTGCTGGTGACTTCATGTGTTTCTGCCAAGGCCAGTTTGTCCATGAGTGGTAAAATGATGGTAGAATTTCTGCTGAATAACAGAGCATGTTTACAAGAGCAGATGAGTTCCTCACGACACATATTTATACAGCAGATACCAGAAGAAAGCTTAGCTTGCCACAGAATGCAGAGCCTGCCCTTTGCCTATGACACTCGGTTAGCTTTCCAGATGACTTCCCTCTCATAGCTGATAGACGCTGACTTTGGCAGATCATTAGCGATAGGCTGTGTATCATAGCTAATCATATCTGCTGAAAGGCTTTAAAGCCTTTTCACATCCTCCTCAAAAAAGATGTATTTTTTCCCTCTCATTATTTTTACCACTGGTTTCTAGTCCGCAGTTCATTAAGCAAACTTTCAACCCTGTTTAGGTATGCTTTGTCTAAAGAGAACAGCGTTTGTACAGGACCAAATTCAAAGACAAAGTTTTGCTTCCTTCTTTAAAGAAAACATAATAATTAAGCTCAGATTGACACAGATCAAAACATTGGCAAAAATTGCTGGAAACACTGATTCAGGTTTTTTTTAATTTCAATTAACAGTTTCTCAGTTTCCTGTATAAACAGTGAAAGTGTCAAAAATAATTATCTTGGAGAATAAACTATTTTACTGCAAGATATGGAAAACTGGGTGTCACAACAGTGGTGTGTACTGGTCTGCCTGTTGGTGAACTGAACTGAATCACAGACATGTTTTTTCTCTTGGTAGGAAACCTGTTAGTACTTATTTTTCTGTTCTTTTAAGTATTAATTTACTTGTCTAACAACCTCTGTTTGTCGTGGAAAGCTCTTAGCTTACAAGTTTAGTAAGAGTAGAAGCATTCTGAGTGGCAATTCTTTTATTTGTAGAGTGGGAAGAAGGATATGGGACTTTCCAAATCATCATTTTATTAACAAAAACACTTGTTTTTCTGAATTTTTTTTCCAGTCATTTGACTGAAAAGCCCTCCGTGGGTCTTTTTGTCACTTAGGGTATTCAGCTTGGATTTGCTTTCTTTGCTCTGACAAACTCAGGTGAATCGGACCTAATCATAAAATTGTACATTCTTCTTTTTGCTCATGAACTTTGGCATTTGACTACAGGGGAAAAGGTTTCTTAAACGTATGTTGAATTTTGTTTGAAATATTGGCACGCTATCTTGTCTCCTACAGAGAATGATGAAATTATAACATTTTCCTGTTTCCCTCTTCTTTTGTTTCCTGCCCTATGTTGTCAGTTGTTTCCTAGGATACATTTCAGGTTCATGAGTTTAAACTGAGATAAACAGTCCTCGCTGGATGTTATTTCCACTGTTGGGTAAGACCACATGGAATTTTCACTTCCAGTACATGTTATTTTCAGTAATTTGTGTTTGTTTATTCAACATTATAGACTTGCTGTGCCCTTGAGAATATAAGTGAAAGCAAGTTTCCTAGGGCTAAGAAGACGGGGTCGGTTAGAGCTGTTGTTCAGCTGTAGGTTCCAGCTTTGCTGAGCTTTAAGGCCATGAATATTCTCCCCAGAGCTGCTGAGATCACTCACACGCCTAACGCGTGCATTTCAGTTTGACTCAGCTTGACCCTGTTTGACTCCACAGTCAAGGAAATGATGCCACGGCTGACCATAGCTGTTTGTTTCTCATTTGTCTGCATTTACATACCCTCTGTGTCTGCTTTTCATTAATACGTGAGACTTTAGCAGGGGATTTTCACAAACATTTACCACTGGCCAAACTAAATTTA